ATTATTCACGGAGATTTAAAGTCAACTTATGTTTCAAACAGTATGAATTATTATGATTCAGCACATGACACCAGAGCAACATCACTATTTGATTTACCAATTAGGAGAACTGATTACACAAAATATGAGCCAATAAATTATATGCTTACATCATTCAACGATTATTATGCCGAAAAATTGCAAAACAGTGATAAAAGTTTAATTGATTTAGAAATAAATTTATCAACAGTTAAACAAAGAATAGAAAATTATTTAAAGCAAAACAGATAAATACAAAATGTTTGTTATGGATTAGCAGTTGCAAAATTAATTTATGAGAATTATATTATTTACATGTAAGGAGAGAAGCAATAATTTTTCAGTTACACTCTCAAAAATGCTTGATAAAAATTGAATTATATGTTATTGTGTTATATTTATTTAATTAAAATATTTTCAATAAACCACCAAGGCTGTTCGGTGCAGTTATTATTATTAATATAAATTGAAATTTTCAATTTATTTTTTTCAATTACCATTTACATTCAAATTGGGAAATGAATTGAAATTCATTTCAATTGCGTGAAGTTGCAGTGATTCTAGTTGGCTCCCATATTACTATTTTCGATTGTTTTGAATTGTTTTGACGTCATCTCATTTTGAATGTAAATTAAAATGTGTAAAAATTAAAATTGAAATTGTTTTCATTGCCGCGAGTTTCTTTTAAACTTATTGACACAGCAACCGTTGTTGTTGAATGTGAGCATTCAAATATTAACCTCACTTTTCACGTTAGCTATGTACAATTCATTTCCCAACTTGAATGTAAATGGTATTGAAAATTCAATTCAATGAATTGAAAAAAATAAATTGAAAATTCCAATTAACATTATTTAATGGTAATTATAATTGAATGAATTGGCATTGAAAAATTCGAAACACTGTTTTGCATTGATTATGTTAGGGCACTACTACGAGGGTAACTATTTAAGTTCAAATAATATATAGGAAAGCGTAATGGTTTTTTATTTAAAATGTCTTTATTGCTTTTCAAAATATTCTCCGGCATGATCGATACACTTTTGCATTCGCTTGAACCATTTGTCAAAACAGTTTTTCCATTCCGCGCGAGACTCCTCCAAAACATGGTTTTTGAATGCCTCAACGGCTTCTTCGGGCGTAGAAAATCGTTGACCACGCAGTTTGTTGTTGATGTACGGGAATAAAAAGAAATCGTTGGGTGTCAAATCAGGGCTGTACGGTGAATGGTGCATTAATTCGATCTTTTCATCGGTCAAATAATCAGTTGTTTGCTTTGATGTGTGAGAGCTCGCATTGTCATGGTGAAGAATGATTCGACGATGTTTGTTTGTTTTCCTCATTTCACCAAACACTTCTGGCAAACAAATGGTGGTATACCAATTAGAATTAACTGTTCGTCGATCCTCTAATGGAACTGTCGCCACATGACCAGTAAGTGAAAAAAAATTTTTTTCATGCATTAAATTTCATGCAAAATCTTTACGCTGGTGGAATTGATGCCCAGGGATGACTCAATCTCACCGTATGTTACATGACGATCTTCTTCTACGGTTTTTCTGACAGCATCGATAGTTTGTGGCACAATAACTGATTTTGGACGACCTTCACGCGGCTCATCACACAGTGCATTATGACCGCAACGAAATTCTTGGTACCACCTATAAATGTTGGATTTGGATGGGGCTTCCTCCCCAAACGCTGATTCGATCGAAACACTGTTGTTGTGTTAATCCACATCGAAAGTCATAGAAAATCATCGCACGAAAATTTTCATGTGTTAATTTCATTTTTGTAACTGAGTTAAAAAATGTAAACAACAATAACAAAGCAAATTGTCAAATAACAGTTATGACAATTGACGTCTGAGGTTGTTCATCATAAAAAATGTCGAACTTTACGAAAATGATATTGATTTGCATCGGAAAACACCAAAAGTACAATATTATTCGAACTTAAATAGTTACCTACGTATATAAGGCTAGAGACGTCGACAAACCGAACTTTGATCAAGGGGTGTTTGTATGGTAGGATCTTCTTTAGGAAGGTGTTTTAGAGCCATTATGTTAAAATTTTGTGCTGTAACGTAAGGTTACACGTCCATTATCAATTAGAGATAAAATTGTGCTCTGCAATCAGAAAAAACCATAATAATGGCTCACTTCTTAAAAAATAACATTTCCATGAAAAAAGGACCATCTTTGGAGAGAAAGTTGAAAGAAATCGACACAACGGTTGTCAGAACATAATTTTGATGGTTTGACGCATACTGAGAAAAATCGAAGATAATGGTCCGTTCAATCTAAAGTGAATGTGCTATTCGATAGCCCATGGATAAAGGTTTATACCAATAAAAATGAATTTAATATTGTATAAGTGTTGTTCAAATAGTGAACGCCTGAATTTAGTGCAAAGACTTTTTACTCATATGTTACCATCGATTCACCGTATCGTGGTGGTGATGGTTTCCCTTATTATTGGGATCTTCCCAGGTCATTAAGTAATACAAGGTATGTTCGAATTATGGTTATATATTTGATAACTCCACCGAATAGTATCTCGTTATATATATATGTACTTTTTCTTTTAAGAAATTATTCTAAAAGGTTATTCTAGAGGTTGATCCGCTATGCTTCTTATCCAGTTTTTTATTAGTCTCATCTTGTAAACGATGTTCATAACCTCGAACGTCTTGCATTGACATTTCAATCCACTCATCAATCCAGGTGAATGCTTGCCTATGTCCCAATAGAAGAATTTCTCGAATACAACGATGAATAAAATCTTCGACACGTGTCTGAAGACCCCATACTTCGAATGAGGCATGAACAACTTTATAAGAACACATAATTGGTTTTTCATCTCGCCATCCTTCAATTAATGGACCCCGCTTCGTTTTGGTCGATTGAAAGAACTTTGGATCTTCTTCACGTTTGTAGTGTTTGCTCAGTTCGTCAAATGCAATATCAATCTCATCGACGCTACGAACTTCAAGTAGTTCCGGTCTAAGATTCAAGCACTGGAATTGTTAAATTACAAAATTAGATCTTTGACGTTAATGCGGAGTCGTAATGGGTAATTTTACATTATCGTGTGATCCATTGTCATTTTCGTACTTGGATTGTATTGATATGTGAAACTTTGGTATGAATGAACACTGAAATTTACAATATTTAATTAGAAGGTCAAAATTAAAGTAGATATTAGCTACATACAGTATACTCTTCAGTTTTCAATTGCAAGTATAAATAGATGATCAAAACATATAGAGAAAAAATATCATTGTTACTTAGAGCATTTCTTTTCATCAAATGTTGCTTCAATACCTGTTATGGTAAGTGGATAGTAGTTCCATGATTTTTCAATGACATAAAATGCTTTCGGGCAAACCTGGGGGTGAATGAGAAAAGAAAAATGGAAATGATTGGAATTAATCAATATGTGAAGGAAAACTTCTTGGAAATTAAATGAAATCACTGAAATCAATGTATCACTGTGTTCTTCGTAAGTGTGTGCATCAAAACTATCTAAAATGAGGTTTAAGTGTAATCAGTAATTTCTGAACTTTTGGCGTCTTGATTGAAATTTTTCAGATCTGGTAGTTGATTTGAATTTTACATATTTTGTTTTATAACTGAATATACTTCGTTTGTGTACTTCACTGTTCTATTTCGTATTTGCAGTCAATGTTTTTGTATTTCATTGAAAACAAATCATTCTTGTCCTGTAAGAATAAAATGTCATTAGTACTTCCACAAAAAATTGAGTTCATATCTCTCTTCATTTGTTAACTTTAACATTTTGTCATTGAAAAAATCCAAAATCTTGCTTTACCATCAAACATTTTCAATCGTTTCTTGGATGTAATTTATGGTAACCATCCACCAAAAAAAAAAAACTTTCTCAGCTGTGCAGAGACTTGATGAAAGATGACTTCTACATTTTTGCAACAATAGTGAAAACAATGTTTAATCTGATATTCAAAACCGTCAAAATCGTTCATGAAATTCTGCAAATGATAAGAATACGTTCTGCATCTCAGCAGACAGTGTCTTCAATATATCACACCACAAATGTCAACGATCATTCAAAAAGTCTTTGAATTTTTTTTTTTGAAAGATGAACATATTTCTCTTTGCAATGTATTTCTCAAATCAATAATAGTTGTTAATGAAGCCTAGTTGCAGTACTATAAATCAAATATCAAAGCGAAGAGAGAAGTAAAATCAAAAAAAACCTCTATCAAGGTGAAGAACGAGTGACGAAAGCAAAATCTTAAACACAAAATTTCTGATATCAATTTTGTGACGAAAATAGTTGGTAGATATATTTTCTGTGCACTGTGAATATAAACTTAATATGCATTTGTATTTGTATAAAACGTTGCAGAAATTCTCTTCTTTTTACTTTGAGTTCATACTGATGCAATGAAGCAACGTTCCGAATTTACAAATTTATATTATATTCACAATATATCTACCAACTATTTTCGTCACAAAATTGATATCAGAAATTTTGTGTTTCAAATTTTGGTTTCGTCACTCGTTCTTCACCTCGATAGAGGTTTTTTATTTGATATCAATAGTTTTGTAAGCGCTATTTTGAATGTTAAAGATTCAAGAAAAATGAATTTGAATCTTTTTCAAATACAATGAAAATATGGATTTTTAGGTTATTTTTGGATCAAAATCATATAAATTGTGGTTCATAATGGAGAAAAGTAGTTTTTTCTGTAGTGTGTGGTATGCATATTTTTTTTATTTTTTGACTTGGGGCTTTAATTGATGAAATTTTCAAGAGAACATATGCAGTCTTTTTCGAAAAAATGGCCGTTATGTGTGCGGCCAACGATCAATTTGGCCACCCCCACATAAAATTTTTAAGTCGCAATTGGCACCACTCGAGAGCTTACTTTAAGAACTTTCCAACGAATATGCATATGTCCTGGTTAAGTCAATTCTAGATCCCACAGCGACCGTATGAAATAATGGCCATTTTTCAAAGCGCGATGATGACAAGCAACGTTGACAGTAGCGCCATGGTGCGGTTGCCAGCGAAACTAAAAAATTGAACAAATTTCTCCTCCAAAAACCTCTTGGCCTGTTGTGGATTCGGTATTTTATCGATCTTATGCGAGGAGACTATCAAACATGTAGTTATTTGTGGTTAAAATTTCATATTTCATACATCTAGACATTTTTGTGAAAATCGAATTTTGGTACATTTGGCCGAATTTTTGGTGGAATAGCCATTAACGGTCGATATCAGACAGGCCAAACCGTGGCCGAGATGTCAAATCACAAATGTCATTAGTTGTCCCTATCGAAATCTGCTGTCAAGCAAGTTATATATTAATTATTGTATTACATTTTGTTGGAGACTTATTTATTTAGAAATATATGAAAAGAATGTGAATGTGAACAAAAAAGATAAAAAAAATTAATATCGTAACGAATTATGTAATTTATTTATTTATCTATTAAATCACCGCCAAGAGCTGGCTGAATTCATACAGTTTTGGGGTAAAAAAGAGTGTCCAAAGGACCTCGTTAAAAAACCCATCTTTTCAGTAGTGTTACATTTAATACTTGTTATACACCAAGAAGTGTAAAGTAAATTAGTTATCACAGATTTTTACATCATTAGTCAGTCGTGTGAATGTTACATCAAAATAAGAAGTTACAAAATTCGATAATGAGTACTTCAAGATATAAAAAATAGCATTAATTAAACCTAACAGACAGCAACTGATCAAAAGGAACAGCCACAAACAAGTTTAAATCACATAGCCACAACAGATCATAATAATATAATTTCTCATTTAATTTTAGTCGAACATGCTGTTTGGTGCTGAGCGAAGCATTGAAATGAAATTTACTCTAGATGTTGAATAAAATAAATATTATAATTCAATTACTCAGCGGCTAGTGTGATTTCATACGTCTATACCGCTGCAAAGCGGTACCAATATATACAAACACACAAAGGTCGACTCACTTTGGATAACATTTCTATTTTTTACACCTAATGGCTCATTATTTTTGTTTTTATTTTATTAATAAAACTAAATTAAAATTGAAATTAAATTTAAAAATGTAAGTTTTTTACGAATGCGATTGCGTGGTTTTATTGCTCTGCTGTGCAGCAGCAGCAGGAATATATTGAGGTTAGGTGTCCTGAGTCAATTTTATTGTATTATTTTTTTGTAGTTCTTTTATTTAATGCGCGTTTGAAAAATTAACAAAAACCAAATTAGGAAAATTGATGTATTGTTTTATTTTATTTAAAATATTTTCATTTATAAGTTTCATCGTTGTTTCAAATTTTCTGTTCGCTCTTTTGTTCCACATTTGATACAAATATCAAAAAATTTGGAACAACGATGAAACATATAAATGAAAATATTTTAAATAAAATAAAACAATAAATCAATTTTCCTCATTTGTTTTTTGTTAATTTTTCAAACGTGCATTAAATAAACGAACTACAAAAAAATAATACAATAAAATTGACTCAGGAGGACACCTAACCTCCATATGTTCCTGCTGCTGCTGAACAGCAGAGCAATAAAACCACGCAATCGCATTCGTAAAAAACTTACATTTTTTAATTTAATTTCAATTTTAATTTAGTTTTATTAATAAAATAAAAACAAAAATAATGAGCCGTCATTAGGTGTAAAAATTAGAAATGTTATCTAAAACGGGTCGACCTTTATGTGCTTGTATATATTGGTACCGCTTTGCAGCGGTATACGCGTATTCAAGCATACTTTCCGCTGAGTAATTGAAATATAATATTTATTTTTTTACATAATTCGTCACGACATTAATTTTTTATCTTTTTTATTCACATTTCACATTGTTTTTTTTTTATATTTATATAATAAATAAATCCCGTACAAAATTCAATACAATAACTGTCAAGTGTAGTTTTGCTAATAGGGATTGATAAGTTTCTCGCGTGGTCCACCTGTCAAAGCGCTGTCGTCGACTTGTTCCACGGGTTTGTAGTGGGTGGTCGATATTTTGTTCATTTTTGTTTGGCTAGTCACAGAGCATATTTTCAGAGTCATTGGAACACATTTTGGCCCATAAAATACTTTAAATAAAACTTAAAACTTCAATTTTTGGCCATTTTTGGCCATATTTGCAGTAACAAAGGCCATATCGTGAATACAAGAATTTTTAGGGATATAAGCTATGCGGCATTTTATAGCTTAGACTTGGGCCTGAAAATCGGTGAAATTTTCAAGTGACCAAGAAAGGCTAGTTTTCGAGCTAATGACCATTATGTGGCCGGCCAAACGGTAACTTTTTGGTTTTTGGCCATTTTGGCAAAGCACGACGACAATGACAGCTGGGCAACGCAGCAACTTCATTATGGTTGTCACTGTTTATGTTGAGTGGCACAAATTTGTACCATTTTTGATTTAAGCGATCGAAATTTATGCAATTTTTTAGTTTCGCTGGCAACCGCACCATGGCGCTACTGTCAACGTTGCTTGTCATCGTCGCGCTTTGCAATTTGGCCACTCCAACTTGAAATTTTTGGACCACAAATGGCACATTCGATAGCTCACTTCAAGATCTTTACAACGAGGTGCATATGTCTGGGGGGTGTCAAGTGTATGTGCCTCGGTGACCGTGGGGAAAAAAGTGAAAAAGTGACTTTTGGAGGCCGGCCACGGCCAACATGGCGGCCAAACACAACAACGCAAAATTGGCCACAGACAGACAGACATTTCGATTTTTCATAAAGATTCATATGAAATTTTCAAAATACGGAATTTTTCGAAAGTATTGATCGATTTTGGCGGTTAGGAGGTCGTTGGATAGGTATTGAGCTCTAGAATCCGAATATCGATATTTCAGAGGTCAATGACCTCATTTAGTGCCATCTATGGTAAAAAAAACTGAATTTTGATCCTTTTCTTGAAAGGACCATATTTTGAAGACAGAATGACCAATTTTCGAACTTTGATATTTTTTCCAACCATACATTAACCGGGGCCAACGGCCTTCTAGGTCTGGATTTCGTATATTACGTGTATATATAGCGAGTTCGACTTTTCAACACACTAATGTGGTTTCGTCACTCGCGCGAACTGCCGTCGCTTAATTGATCCTTAAATTACGTTAGAAAGAAGAAGAAAAATAAGGATTTTTTTCTTCACCAAATGTTTCCTTCACATGACAGCTCACAAGTGCATATTTAGACAAGTACTAGCATTTGCATCGTGATTCAAATTCACCATATATTGCATTTAATGGGGCTGCCTTTCAGCTAGTATTTCCACTTTTCGAATAAAAAATAGCCAAGCAACCAATTTGTAACGTTTTTCACCTTTTTTAACGTTGAAAAATGTAACGCTTTGACCCATTTTGGTGGTCATTTTCGTGTCAATGGAAAGTTGATTATATGCATGTATTTTATTTACATCCAGTCAATGATATTTTTTCAAAGCAAAAAATGAACACGGATCAGAATAATACAGAAGTGTATTAGAAGAGAAGATACGTCAGCATTGTGTAATTCGAAACCAAATTATTGTTTATTTTTAAAACATGACGATTTTCGCTTTATTGAATGTATGGTGTATTTGTATTTTTCACTGAGTAAACACTCTGTGAAGTTTTACATTTCGGCTGGACTGCATACATCTTTAAAAAAATCAGCTTTTGTTAAACAGTAAGCCACAATGTATATAGCTCTATCACTCTCTTTCAATACTTCTTTAATAAGTCATACTGCGTATGCCCGAATGTTCTCGATTGTGTGCACATCAAATTCAAATCGAAACCGAATATTGTCACATTTCGTTCACAATTTGACGTTTCACAGTAATTTTGCATACTCAAGAGACAAGTCGTGATCGTGTTTTTAGTTTTATTCATTTGGACAGTAAATTTCTTTCATATAATTCGAATTGTTGTGTGTGTTTGCAAAGAATAATGGATTATTCACACCAAATTTTGCGTTTGACTTTGTTTTATATTGCAAACAACAAAGCATTCACAAACCTCCACAGTAAGTATTCCAAATCAACTGGAAACTCGTTCGGCGGTTTTGATGCGAGAAGATTTAATGCGGAAGAAAGATGACGTTCAACTTCGGTCATTATGTAATTTGGATCGCATAGATTTTAAAATATATATGCGAATATGCGACGAATTTTGCGAAGCATTCAGAAAGAGAACATCGATATTGAATTAAACTATTGTTAATTAGTTTTTGTGCAGTGTTTTCCAATGGATTCGTTTGATCGTATACCATCAGAGTTATTGTTATATTAGATAAATCCCGTTTCGATTTTTGTCTTCGATATGAATTTTGCCGTCTATTTTCCGTTTGATTTTGTTTTCATTATTTAATATTGACAGAACATTCGGAAAGTACGAAGCAGCAAATTTTATTCTCACTATCAAATTCATTAATAAAAATAGTATAAAAGCAAAGCAAATATTGAGTAGTTCTTCAGAAACTATTAGAATTTCGATGAGGAAGAACATCACCATGAAGTCAACATAGTTCAGCGAATTTAAATCGAATACAATCACAAAACGACAATTTCTGCATTCAATTTAGTGATAATTATCTCATAATATTCGGAAAATTTTCGGTAATTGTGAATGATCGATTGAGCCATGAGTAGAACAAGATCAAGAGAGGATCAATTTAATATGTAAGCAGTGTTTTTCTTAATATTTATTCTGTGTTTTTTTTTCATTGGATTTTCGATGCAATTTCGCGATATTGTTTTGTGACCAGTTTTTTTTTAAATAAGTGTGTATGTTTTTCTTTGTTTTCGTTTCATTTATACAGTCCACCCGAAAGGAAAGACGACATTAAGAACCTTGTAGTCATAAAACAAGGCGTCAAATCAATCATACGGGAAGAATATCGCGACAGAGTGATTCAGTTCTTGGATCATCGAAGCTACAAAATGACACTGATTTCGTCACTGGCATCATTGTTAGCATTGTATAAAATTCAAGAAGCCATCGATGATGGGAACCAACAATTTTTTGTACAAAACGGTAAAACATTTTTCATCGAGTGCTTTAACGGTGTTTTAGCCGATAAAGTCGACAGAGAGGAACTAATGTCGCCAGCTTTTCGTAACATTGTCGAGGCACACTTCGGTGTTGAGAATTTTGAATGGCCCGATAAAGAATGCATGGGAAATGGTTTTAATTATTTCTACCAAGATCACATTCGAAATAATCAGACCAATCTCAACACTCATTGTTCAGAACATGTTGAATCGTTTTTTCAAATGAAACGCTGGTATTATAACATGAATATCAATGGCCATCAATACTATGGATCAAAATTCGACGGCATCGATATACGAATCGCAAAAGTGTACGCCACTAGTAACAAAGATCTGACACATGGCGATGAAGAGAGAACAAATAAGATGAAAATTTTATTGTATGAACTGGGAAGAATCGGTTGGCAGTGTCAAAAAGTTCATAATGAACAATTGGTTCCGGTCAATGTCAATGAGTTCGTTAAGGACAATTGGTTCCAATCACTGTGGATGTTCGGTCAAATGCAACGCTAAATCGAAGTGTTTCATCAATATTCACAACAATGGCATGCATTCCGTCGCGATGGATTGATAACGAACAATCGACCGCCAAAAGTGAACAATTTCGCACTTGTCCCGTTATGCCGATTCCAACTGAAAAACGTTCGATTGGATATGAAAGATATGTATTATTTGGCGAACACTGTACTAGGAGTGGTGCCCAGTTCTCGCAATCCGCTGACCAATCGAATGAACAAATACACACTGGACTATTACATGAACGGCCATAGAGATGAATTGTGGAATTTGGTTTTCGACATGGATAAAATCAAACAAATCGGCAAGCAGAAGCGGTTTCACTCGCAAATCATCACCAATAGTGTTTGCGTGTCAATATTGTACGAGAAGCCAACGAAGGCTTGGGTGGAAAATTCGGAGCGGGCCACATTTAACAACATGACATATGCTAGTGCCATCGATCCTAACGAGAAAACGTGGGTGGCCGTTGTGCGCCGCCATATCAATTCAAACATTGAGGTAAATTAAGTTTGTTATTACATTTTTTTTTCGGAACGTGATTGAAATTTGACGTAATTATTTAACAGGAAAACATTAAAATATCCAATCCACGATTTCATTGGCAAACCGAGCAGAAGAAGAGAGATCGAAAGGCAGATCGATTGACCTGGTGGTTTGTTGAAGAAGAACAAATGGATTTCAAGTCGTACCCAGTGATACCATCGCCGCGTGGATCCACATGGAAAGCGTACATTCTGCATTGCATCAAAATGCTACGAATGGGAATGCAAGCATATGCGACTCGAAAATATGCACGATTGGATCTCGATCGCCACATCAAGGCTACCAAAACAAGTGATAAAGTTGCCATGCGGGTAACGAACAACAAACCGTCTTGGATTTGGATTGGTGCTGGAGAAATGGCACCAAATCGGCCATGGGGCATAAAGAAGCGGAGAAGATGCCCAGGAACGCGTAAATTGGCGACCAGCTTCAAGAAACCAGAGCACACAAAGGTCAGTTTTCAAGATGAATGTGGTACATCAATAACGTGTGCCAATTGTCACGAGCGATTTCCAAGAGAAACCAAAAATCATCGATTCAAAATTTGTCGAAATTGCATACCAAAACCGATTGTTGGACTACCACCGATAATTGTGACGAATTTGAGCAGACAAGAGCTTAAGAAAGAGCGAATTGTAGAGAGAGCAATCAATCCAGATCGTGGGAACATCGAGCGTTTAGTGCCAAAGATAAAAGTTATCTTCAAATCTTGGTCATTAACTCGAGAATACCATGAATTGGGTGATGCTGCACCAGAAGACATGATTGAGCACGTAGTCATTTGGCACCGTGACATTGTTGCCGCAAAGAATATTTTATTCAAAGGTATGTGCATAATTGTATATTGTATTAATATTAAATTGAGAATAGAGAGCAGAGCGTTTGGTATTCAGTGTTCATATTAATTGATTAATGTTTTGTGTTTGTTTCTGATTTTATAGGAATGTGTCGTCTTTTTGGCATACCATTGCCCGATTCGTTGAAGAGACCTGACAATCCACACCATGCGAACAATGTCAACTGATAGCAGCATAAAATCAACAATAATCATAAGAAGAATATTTTAACAATTTTGTTAGTTACTAGGCGTGAATAGTTTAAATCCAAGGATTTGTATTGTACCCTTGACCGCAGTACGGGTCCCTATTTAGGGCTGTGCGGAATATAAAAGAACCCGTAGGTGAGTACTTTATTGAATTGATAGTTTAGTTTTGCATTCAATCTGAATTGTTTTTTTCTTTTTTTTCCTTTCAATTTTGACGGTAAAATTGACTGAAACTACACACAAATCCAACCCCACCCAATATTGACCGTCAGAATATGCCCGATAATGAATGAATTTGTGCCAACAATTGTTCCTCGGGCTATAGCCAAGGATTTCGAAGTGATGAAGTGATGAGTGATGACTAATTAACGTTGAATTCTTAACGTTGAATAAGGGATTTCGACCTAATTTTTTGTGGCGGCACGTTTGATGGTTCGTACTTCGATTACAGCACAAGAACGATTTGAACTACTTTTCTTTATATGCCAGGTTTGAAAGTTTTTGACGCACATGCCTTCAGATCCAAGTGGATCGCGATCATCAATTCAAATTTACAACAGAAGATATGTAACAAATGCTTATCATTGTACTTTCGGTTTGTGCTTTGATTTTTCAGTTTGGCTCCATTGCAGACTGCAACACATAGTTGTACGTTTTTCGGATGCTGTTACCACACTCTAAATCTCAATTTTTCACCAAACTGTTTGCTATCTCCAGTTCATTTGCAAACTGTTCTTAATTTTACAATAATTTCTTAATTTTCAATGGCAATCCTTCAGTAATAAAAGAGTTATTTTTACCTTGGAGCAAACGGCCTGCAGCCAATATGGTAACCGACTAAAAAAATAAATTAGTTTAATCAACTGCAATTCATTTATGTCATAATAGAGAATAATAATGAAGTGGTAAGTAATACTTCAAATAATTGATCTTCACATCAAATTAATTTCGACTTACGTTGACAAATGAATATGTTTTTCTGTATATTGGCCTTTTCCATGTTCATCATCTTCACAATCACGATTTTCAATTACCTCAACTCCTTCACCATCTCCTGATTGTTCATAGCTATGTCTCGCAATCATATACAATTGTCCCACTTGATACTGATTTTGTTAAATATTTTTTGAATTCAAGAAAAATTTTATGGAAAATACAAGATAAAAAAATCCTAACCTCTTCAACAGTCAATGGCATACAGATACGGTACCTGAAATAAAATCACAAAAGAAAAAATAGAAATAATCAAAATAATCTTGAAATATTGTATGAAGATTAGAAGAAAATAATCGAAGAAGAAAAATTCATTACTCTCGTGTTAACACCATGATTTTTTACACGTTAAAAGTAAATTTATGGGATGAAAGTATTAGATATTTATAATTTATACAATATTTTCAATTTTGTATAAATGTTTATTGTGCACGAGTTTTGTTCTCTAACTCTTGCAGTGATAATTATAAACAAATGTTGAATTACATATGAAGTCATGGTTCATATGGCCTGAAGTTGTTCATGAGTCACATACAACACACAATAACATAAAAGTCTTGAAAGCTATCATATATTCCCTGGAAATCGAGTGACATTCATATTGAATTTAAAATCAGAGAAAATTTATTGTGCGTGTATAAAAATTCAACTAAATTAAAACAAACATATATATTAGAACAATTTGATATATTTATAGGTACATTTCAAGTTTTACAGAAAATGTACATTTTTAAGAAAGTTGTTTTTTTTTCAAATTTTCTCTTAATAAGAAAGAAAAAAAGAAAACCTAAGACACATGGGATTTATTGCGATTTTCAATATTTATATATTTAACTCTTTAGTTGCATATTTTATAGACATTTTTTTGCAAGATTATAGATTAATTTTGATGTTCAAGCACGTCAAGTTGTATGGTTTCAAATTCAAAGCCATTTGAAATAAATTTACGTAAACATAGAAAATTTAAAATGATTTTCGGTTTGTTTCAAATTTAATTACTTAGCACTGTTTTACAATTCTATGAAATGCCAAATGGGAAAATGGGACCATCAAGAAGTAATGAATGGACTTGCTGTTTTGGAATTCATGTTCGAACTGCAACTGTTATGATTGGAATGTGGCACTTGGTAAAAAGAAATTATATTAAATATTATAAGAGAAATTATATTAATCATTTGGGATTTTTCATCTTATAATTGTTTAAAATATAAATGTCATTAAATCTATGTCTATTATTTACAGTTTTTAAACGTGTTGACATTAGGAATATTAGCTGCAATAATCCGAAATCCATATATGATGAAGGAATTTGAAAATGGTCATGATGATTATGACGTTCGATTGGAGACGCTTCCAACTCCATTACTTTATCGCGATTATTCGCTTAATTATCGTATGTAATCTTGTAATGTAATGATTCCACATCTCTTCTTTTTTCAGAGAAAGTTGATTTGGGCTGCATTTGTATGATCGCTATTTCATTGATGTTAATTTACGGTTCTATTAAATATAAGCCATCTCATTTACTGCCCTTCTTCTGTCTTCAACTATTTGATTTTGCAATAACAACGTAAGTACTGTAAAGGAAATTCACAGAATGTGACATACCCTTCGGTGACAACATGAGAAGTTTTATTGATACTACGTTTGGCTTGACCAGTATATTAAGATTTATTCACTCAAATATATTTTTTAGTTTGACTGCTGCTGGTTATTTGTGTTACTTAAGATCTATTCATCGACGAGAGCCATCAGGTAGATAATACGAAAGTCCACGCTGAATAGCCAGACTTCATGATAAGAACTATTAACATCGTTCCTTAAATTAAACTAAATTAATTTTTCATTTATTTGTTGATTGATTGATTGTTGATTTGTTGAATGAGCGAGTGTAGTGTGTGAACGATGCTATTCTCAGTTTTCGCCATCGTCGTCGCTACCACTACCGCTATCATTACTATCATCACTGTTGTCAGACAATTCACTGTTGCTCAAATCGACCACCATGACTGATCCGAATCGTATTCAGCTTCATTGGAATTTTTTGATGTTTGATACTGAAATGTAAACAAAATAATCAAATTCACTTTACACATCACATGAATTCGAAAATTGTATTCAACAAATAATGCAATCGCACACAATATATTACCTTTTGTTGCTTTTTATGCTTATTTTCATCAAATTCTTTGAAGCGTCGCTCTGTATGTTGGTTTTGTGTCTCGGCATCGACTGTGAATGCATCTGGCAATTTTATTCCCAACAGTTCATAATGACCTAAATACATGTACGATGAAAATTGAATATTGGTGTACCGGCATTAGTGTCTCGATTTAATGTAACCGAACGGACTTTTGTCGTATCAACAATATCATCACGGTTTCGTATGTATTTCCATGTGATGACATCTATGCGCCGACGTCGCAAATGTGTTCGTGGCCTCTTCACTGATAATATCGCAGCATTTTCAGCAGCTGGCACAAGCATTCCATCGATCATATTGAAGCGTTTCAGTTCGACTTTTGGCTGGCGGCCATCTTCGTCCGAATACCGTGGTCGATATTTTTTCTGCTTCTTCAATTGTTTCGAATTCTTGTGGCTGTAAATGAATGAACCACCATCGGGCAGTGCTTCTGGCGATGGTTTACACTGGCGACACACTTTGAATCGAGTTATCATTGTCTTTTGGCCGTTCTTCGAACCATTTTCCAGTACATTGAAGCAACGGCTACATAATTTTGTTGTTCGATATTCATCCACGTAGCGCACGGGACATTGTGGATGTTGTTCGAGTGCTTTGAATAGCAAACGAACACTTGTACGTACATAACCTTTGCATGGGTGAACGGCGCCTTGCCGACAAACACAAATGTATGTTTACCATGCCCTTGTGCCACAATCATTCGCACCAATTCACCAATGGTTGGATGGATTTCAATCCAATGCAAAAAATTAGTCAGTACATACGCTTCGCTGCCGTACACATAGTCGGCGTACGTTTCAAAATCGTTCGTCCTGCTGCTCGGCTGTACATGGTTCTCAGTTTCCCGTTCGATGCGCTCACGATCGTCGGCTCTGTCGTCTTCAAGCGTACCAACCAGTCGATCTCGTTGTTTCTTGAATTGTGGCAATTTCGTCATCCAATGATATTGCTTGATGGATATTTTAAAATTGCGTACGCTTTTCACTTTCACAGCGCCCGTATCGTCTTTCTCTCGATCGATAATTTGGCAAGCAATGATTTCACGATCGCCACATCAAAAATTACTTCGCTAAATAGTTTTTTTTGAGATTTTATATGGAAAAATGGCATAAATTTTAAGCGATTTTAATATTTTACCGATTTGACGATGTGCTGCGGTCGAAGCTATTATTCTTGTCATGGAAGAAAACACATTTTGACATTCCATTTCGATTTGACTTTGTGTTGACGATGTGCTGGCGTTTTGTATATTTTGGTGGATCGGTGAATGGCGGCTTAACGAATTTGAGTGTTGTTGCTGCTGCTGTCGATTGTTTTGATCGAATCGTACGCGTTTCGATTGTGTCGAAGACTGTGACGAAACTAAGCTAGGTGTGTGTATGACATTACTGTGTGCGTCGACAACATCATCATCATCATCCGATTCAATGACTGTATAGAAATCAAAAATGAAAGTTTTCAGAATCAAAATAAGAAGAAGAAAAAAATCAAACGAAAGACACAACACAACGAGCTATTTATCTTTTCGTCTTTTTGATCCAGTTGTATTTGTGGCTCGGTATCGATTGAAATACTGAGTTCCAGAATCGTTCTGTGACATGACTTCCAAACCAACTGTGCATGGTGTACACTGTTCAAATTGAATATCGATCGATTGATGAACTTCGTCTTGTACATCCACATGCTCTTGTGCCGGCTCAGTTTGTTGACTATTGTCCACAGTCACATTCAATGGTTGTCGTTGACGCTGCGAATTGGCCCATTCAGAATATATTCGAATTCTTTCATTCGTTTCATTAACGCAAGTACGCTTCGGACGCATCCTTAATTATAAAATGCGGAAAAAAAAGAAACAAATCGATACATATTCGTACAATATCGAAGAAAGATCTTGGACAACAAACAAGCGGAACAGAACATAACCAAACTTCAAAAAGCAAAGAAAAAAAAATTGAACACGTGCCGAAAAATTCCGAAAACCACCAATCAATTTAGAAATACTCATCAATTTGCAATCAATAGCGATAATTTATTTTCGAAACACGACAAAACATGAATTTACCAGATTTATTTTGGGACTTGGATGAATTAATGCACAGGAAAAATTGAAAAATCGTTCCGTTGGTCTGATTGACAATTGCGTCTCACTTTCTTTAATTGATTGTTGATGAAATTATCAAACACGTTTCTTGAAGTAAAGAATATTTTCCAATTTGTTATCAATTTGTTTGAAATCACGACAAAATATGAATTAATTCGATAATTATTGAGTTTTATCTGATTTTGAGCACACTAAAAATTAATTACGGTTTTTTTCCCCCTTTGAGACTAAATTATTTCAACTAATCCAATTGGAGCTCGCTGTGTAAATGCGAATGATCATTTGACATTTCTTAATAACAATGCCGACAAACTAGCTGCTACTATGTATGTGTATGTGTATGTGATTGCGCACAATTAAAACAATCTGAAACAATGACCAATACACTTTGCATTTATTATTGGTGATGTATATGCAACTAGACGATGCGCCATCTATTGGTGATTCTTTCAATTTTCATTCGATTGTATCGTTGTTGAAATGGTTATGAGCAAAAAAAACAACAACATAAACAAAAAAACGAAAAATGCTATTGGAATCTTTTGGCGTTGTTATAAATATCTGACGATATGGCAGCTTCATTCATATAAGCCTGCAATGTTACCATACATCATTCCAGAAATTTCTGCACGTCATAATACCCTATTACCGGTGACTATTATTATTATAATAATGGTAGACTTGTGATTTTTTGAAAGTCTTTACCACATTTATTGAGATTTATAGTAGTAACAGATGATCTGTGAAACTTCAGAACAATGAATTATGAAATCGAAAAAAGCCGCATGGAATCGACAATTTCGTTCATCAATCATCCAAAATGTCTGAATTGTACAGTTTTAAACTTTAAAGTAATTTTTGTCATTTCATTATAATTTGAATTGATCGATGGGATGTAATGTGCTAATTTTTATTTATTGTCGTTTAATTGTTTAATCTACGAAGTCACCGCTAAACCTCAAAATTTAAATTTATGTGATTATTGCCTTATTCTTAAAATATAAATAATTTGTTATCTCTTCATCTAATTGTGATATTCTCAAAAACTCCTTTTTTGGCCATTTTTAGGTATTACCGGACTATGAAGAAACACTCTCACAAAGTATGAAAAAACAACCACCGCCAAGCTATTATAAAATTGCAATAATGCCAAATCAATTGGTTCCCAATTTGAATACGAATGAAAACCAGTCAATGCATGTACGAACATCATCACATTTTACTGTTTCATCTACATTCGAAACACAAAATTAATCACCAAACTGCATTCCACCAGCTTATGAAGAAAATGAAAATCGTGCATCTATTACATCGCAAATTTCTTTGGCCACAACTGGTACAAAACCTAATCCTACATGGCGCTACGAAAGACCGTAAAATCAACATTAGAGAGACAAAAAACGCTTTTTTACCGCTTTTACTACATTTCAACGTTGAAAAATGTAACGTTTTGGTGGTCATTTTCATTTTAAATAGAAAGTTTATGAGTAGATTCCACACTCCACCACATAATATGAATCTTTTGAGACTTTTAATTTTGTATTTCAATTCAAATGATTCATTTGCCGCAGAAAAAATAATAAACTATGTGTTTAGAAATAGATTTTTCTGATTTTAGTTTCAGCAGCTAACATTCCAAGGAATAATTTGTAATGCAAATAAAATGTCTTACATCCGTAAGATGAACTTTTCCGCACTGTGATCCACAACATGTATTTATTAGATATCTTTTACTTAAATTTAAATTACCTCGAAAACAAGCTCAAGGTTTTTTTGAAAATTTCACCGATTTTAGGCCCAAGTCTAAGCTATAATATGCCGCATAGCTCATATTCCAGAAAATTCTTGTTTTCAAGATATGGCCTTCGATAGTGCAAAAATGGCCAAAAATGGCCAAAAATGACAGAAAAATGTTACTTTTAACATTTGAAGTATTTTATGGGCCAAAATGTACTCCAATGACTCTGTAAATATGCTATGTGACTAGCCAAATAAAATGTAACAAAATATCGACCGTTGTTGATGGCTATTCCACCAAAAATCGACCAAATGTACCAAAATTCGATTTTCACAAAAATGTCTAGATGTATGAAATATGATATTTTAACAACAAATAACTACATGTTTGATAGTCTCCGCGAATAAGATCGATAAAATACCGAATATTATG